CCAGTAATACATATATATACAAATTCTCTTTCATATTCTTTTCCATTATGGTTTATTACAAGATATTGAATACAGTTTCCTATGCTATACAGTAGGACCTTATTGTTTATCTTGCTCGTCTCTTAACAAGCCATACTCTATGATAATGCCGCACATGGAAAACTATGTGGAATAGAAAACAACTGCAATAATCCATTTGCTTAATGAGTATTTGTTGAGTCCCTATCATGTGGAGACCACTGGCCTAGATGCTGGGAAACAGTAAGAGGGGAAATAATGGTACAGTCACATGAGAGACAGCCCTTAATCACAGAATCATAGGAAACGAATGTAAAGTGACAACAAATTCTCAGCCCATAATGTAAGGGGATTGTATGGAGGGTGTTGCAGAAAAAGTCTACGTTTTTAGTGTTATTCTGGTACCAACGTTTGTCTTAAGAAAGCATTGCAACTACTTAAACTAGTTCAGAAGGAAATCAACTTCCTGTGAAAATGCTCAAGCTAGTTGGAGTGTGAGTGGTGGCTCTGTGTTTGAGAACACTGAACCTTGAAAGAACATTTGTCTGGCTATTTTGTTAAACAAAACTCAAGTCACCCAGGCTTTACTAATAGCTTCTTTGTGTTTCATGACTTTCCACCACATAAACAAAATTACTTAACACCTCAGTCTGTGACTAAAACTGTCATTTATCAGTTAAAGCCTACTGACAGAGCAAACTCGAGACACTGCAATTCCAGCCTCCCTGTTCAAACAATTTCTGCACTTCAACAATCACTCTCTAGCTGGCTCTAAGGACCTCTGGGAAAGGTTGCTTCCTGGGAATCCGTAGATAGCATGTCTACAGATTCCTCATTTCAAAGCAGATTCTCACAATCAAATTCATTTTGAAAAAAATGACCCTACCCTCTGTTGTACTTCTGAGGATTACAGAATCTCATTCAAAGGAACTTAGAGATTGACCAGTCCAACAGTTTTCAAATCTTTTTTAACCCTGGAGCATGTTCTTAAAAGTAAATTTCCCACCTGGGTCCCAATCTGTAAAATATTTAAAGTAGAGCTGACTGATTGAAACAGGGGTGGGGGACCCAGAGCTCCACCCTTCACCAGCCCCCAACCAAGGAGGTGGCACCATTGTTCTCCCTGGCCTTCTGGGGACAGCATGAGTCTAGGGCAACGTCAACATCCTCCCTTCACCCAATGCTGCAGCCAGGCGCCCATGCACATCCTGACAGGTCACCTCTTCCTGGCTAATCTCAGAGTCAAACAGACATGGGGTGCTGCAATTCTAAGGAGGTTTGGATTGGCAATCCTGGGGAAACTGTCATGGTGTGTCCGTGATCATTTAATGAGTATTCAGTCTAAGCTCTCACAACCACAAACATAGAACTGAGGGACCCTAAGCTGTGGGGTGTGGTGATGCGGTAGGCAGCAGGTAGACGTGCAGTCCTATAAAAGGGGCCTATATATGGGGTGGTCTGAGGTTGCATGGACCTGGAGCCAGAAAGCCATGCTCACTGGCCCTTGAAAGGGAATGTTTCCAGCAGAGCACCTAGCAGGTGGGCAGAAGAGGAAGGATAAGGATTAGTGGTTTATCCTAGGCCAGGTACCACCTTTAGAGCCATTTCCCCACCTGCTCTTTATAGAGGGGGCAGCCTGGAGGGCTGATCAGGAAGCCCATGGCAGACATCCACACAGCACACGGCAATTGACTCTCACACACGCCATCTCGTGTGGTCCTCACAACAGCCCTATGAAGTGCAGGTTAACATGCAACTTTATAGTTAAGGAGTTAGTGAGGTAAAACAGCTAGCGCAAGGTCAGCTGCCTGTAAGAGGCAGAGCTGTGGGCAGTGCTGTTTCCACCACCGCACCGATGCACGCAGGAGATAAGGGAGAAGTCAACGTTTTCTCAGGAAGCATTAGTTTAAATTCCTTCTACCCTTCGTAAGCATTCCGGTGCGAGGTAGCTATGTGATTTCTGAGCAGGTGGGTAAAGTGAGGACAACGACAGCAGCAGCTGGAACAGAGAGGAAAGGATGAGATGCTGTTCGCAAACCTGCGAAGATCTCCCTTATCGGTGCTTTGTGACCACCTAAAGGGGTGGGAATGGGAGGGCGGGAGGGAGGGAGACGCAAGAGGGAAGAGATATTGGGACATATGTATATATATAACTGATTCACTTTGTTATACAGCAGAAACTAACATACCATTGTAAAGCAATCATACTCCAATAACGATGTAAAAAACATTCAAGCAGATTGAGCTGCCAGACCATAACAAATTTCTCCCACAAGTTATTTGCCTCATGTATTTCATTTAAAGAAAAATTAGGTAATACTAGGCAACAATAAAAGTACAGAAGCATAAAATTATATATCGTTTAAATTTTCTTTTCAAAGAATCAGAAAAATAAATTTCATACCATAAACCTAAAAAAAAAAAAAAAAAGGAAAAAAAAAAGATCTCCCTTATAGGAATCTCAGCAAATGGCGGGCTGGGATGAGATAAAGGGGCAGCAGGGGTCAAAGAGGAGGGCCAACTAGGGCAGCCTCTCCAAGGGAAAGTTTCATGACTACAGAGGGAGCACAGCACAGCGGCCAAGAGCATGGACATGGGAGCCAGACTGCTATGGTTTGAATCATCTTAGCTGCACCACTCTGTGCCTCAGTTTCCCTAGCCAAAATAAGTATGACACTAACGGTATCTACTTCATAGGCTTCTGCAAGAGCTACGTAAATCAATGCCAGTGAAGCTCTTAGACAGTGCCCGATATATAGTAAATGCCGCACGAGGATTTGTCAAATAAGTTCTTACCGGGCTGTGAACTCCTGCTTCAGGTGCCCACAGATAAGCGATAAGCGACAGCTACTGTCTGAAATTCGAAAATGAGTTTATAACATCCTAGCTTCCTGTTCTCCCTAAAGTTTGGTTACTTCAATCCCTGGCCCCATTGATTTATGAAGCCCATTTTATCATCAGATCTTCCCCTACTCTCTCCTGACTTTCCTTTCGTCACCCCTACTGCCTAGCCAAGCCCCTGATTCCCCAGGCTCATCTTTCTGAGTCCACGTCATATATTGTGTGACTTTTCAATTGTTCCTGTAGCTCGTAAAATAGCATTCAAGTCTATGGGTTGTTTTAAATGTACGTAGGAGTCATATTAAAATTTTGTCAACAGGGGGAGCTCAAAGAATAGCTTAAAATAAAATTATCCAGCTCCAGCAAACTTGGAAAAAAAAGAAAAGGAAGAAATAAAATCATTCTGATATAACCATATGATTTTGTTATTAATCAGAATATGAGAGGAAATAAATTCAAAGAGAGATAAGTAGGCCGTTGTTTTTCTATAGTAGAAGATGATTTACTTAGATTTCTGTCTCTAGAGAAATCCAAGTAAAGATTTCGATTTTACATTCACAAAGATGACAAGGTACTAAAGAGTTCAGGGATTTAGATTTATTCCCATTTGATTTGTTTTCCTTAAGAAGAGTTTAGAAGCATTGTGCTCAGTCTATTCAGACTTAGTAAATACTATTCAGGGAGGTCACTGCATGAAATATTGTTTGCAACTCTGGCCAAAATTCCAGGGATAATCATGAAATGGGCTTTTATTTATAAGAGCTAATGTTTCAACTAGGAAGTTTGGAAAACCTTTATGGATTTCTATAAGGTGAGAAGAATAATTCCTACTTGTTTGGTTTATTAGAATATCCTTAAACTCAAAAGCTTTGCTCCTGTGATATCTGGGCTGAGACACCTGTCTGATGCTCTGCCCTAAGCCAAGGTTCTACCCTGGGAGGGAAGCTTAGCTCATCCTCGGTGAGGCTGTGATATTTGGCAAATCATATCTTTAAGATACGATTAAGGGAATGAAGAATTCTTGGAAGGGAAAATGTAGAGCATAAAACCTGTTGTGATGGACCTTTGTGGTTTTGTGGAGTGCGCTAGATTGACTGCAGTTGAAGGCTGGATTTATAAAGTGCTTTTTTTCTTCCAAATAATTCAAAGGGATTTCTCATAGGAGCTGTGACTTTAAAGCCAGGAGATTGGATCCATACCAACCGTACTAGAAACAAGCCTCACTGCTTTATAACTGCATCATGTAGGTGGTCTTACATATGCAGTTTCTCTGAGCAGGGAGCACTGGGAATTACTACTCTGATCTCTTAGAGGGAAAAAATGCAATATTTTCCCATCAGATCATTTGCCAAGGATCACATTTTTGGTCACTGTCAGAATGGACTCAAACCCAGGTTTTCTAATTCCAAATATGTAGGGCATAAACATATGCCCTAGTATCTAGGTCAACTAAATAGCTGATTCCCAAAGTCACTTCCAATCCAGGATTTGACCACTCTATTATTTATCGACTCAAACTTGAACACTTGGGCTGCACCAGTTTGTTCTTTTAATCAATTCATCTAGTGAAATTCCAACTTTAATATAAGAGCAAAGTCATTGATACCATAAAGTAATAGAACTGTTTTTCACTTGTGATTTTCACATACTGGGTCATGATGTTCAAGACTTACCTCTTATCTGTGGAAAATGAGTGATTTTAAGATATTTTATAATAAAGGACTGACTAAAGAAATTATAGCAATATAATGCAACCACTTTAAATCATGTTCTCCAAGCGTATTTAAGTTTATGGAAAGTTGTTCACCTCACATTGCTATGTGATAAAAAAAAAAGCAGGTTATGAAACAATGTGTATATATATTTTCAAAGTACAAAAGTCTAGATAAAAGATAAAAGTCTAGAATGATGTGAACCAAAATATTAATAGTCATTTTCTTAGGAGGGTGTTCCATGCATTTTCTATTTTAATAACAAAATTTCTTATACTGTCTGCAATTTATTGAGCTTTACATGTATAACTAGAGAAACATGAATTTGACTTTATATAAAAATATAAAGGGCAGTTTAAGAGCTTTGTAAAAATAAGACATTATAGGATTATTACCTAGAAAGATTCTTTTGGAGAAAATATTTCCTACCTCATTTCCTTTGTTTCCAGTACTAGACTTCAATTCCTTTGGTTGCTTTGTAAAAGAAAACAACAGTATTTAGATGGAGAAGCATTATCAGCTAAATATCAAGTTGGGGTTTTCTTGGCCCATAATTTTGACTTCTAGAACAGTAACCGAGATGTTTTCTAACTCACTGAAACCTGATGTGACATAGCTGCCCGGATTCAACAGAAAGGAGCTTCCTGTTTCATCTCAAGGTATGCCACTTTAGGAACTGTCGCTGAGATAAGGGAGCAAGCTGGCATAAGACTGTATTTTTCAGTCACATTTTGGAAAGAGGAAATCATGCTGGGATGTTTTAGAATCTATTCAGCACTCCTTTGTACCTGACAAGTATCATCTGAGCTCAGCCGTGATGATTCTCAAAGCCTACGAAATCAAGTCTAACACACAGGCCTGGGGAAATAGACAATGGGGCAGCGTGCCACATGGCACAGTGAGCTACTAAATGCCATGAGAGCAGGAGATACAAAAATGTTCATGACATAGATTACTTAATGGGAAAAAAAGGACAGAAAACAAATTAGTGTGTACAATCTGATCCCACTTAACAAAAAGAATATATATATATATGAATGAAAATGTAAAAATAAGTATGTTATGTCAAGGTGTTGGGATCATATGTGGTTTTTAATTTTTTCTCTGATTTTCTATATTTACTTTTGTATTAAAAAGTGATTAAAGTATTAGGTAAAAGATAATATACGTGAAAATGCTTAGCAACTAGAAAAGCACCATGAAAACTAAGGTTTTGTTATTTTATATATTATCTCTGCTGGAATAGAGACCCATCACTTTTTGGTTTGTTCCTTGTCCTTCTTTTTCCAAGTGACTCTTTTGGGAGACAGAAGGGCCTCTTACGGCTTCACTTATTAGCAAACATTGGCCATTATTGAAAGTTCCTTGAAAATAGGAATTGAACTTAAGCAAAAAGAGTTCTAGTTATAAGGATGTATATGTCATCACTCCTCATTACATTTTATTGATTTAGCAGTGTCATATAGAGAGATTCAGTTACAAAGAAATGTACTCTTCAATACTGAAGACTAAACAAAAACAAAATAAAAAATGAAAACCAGCATAAATTTACGTATGCAGATATCTTTCTGTTACCATAAATTTTATCTTTAAGGAAGTAGACTTTTAGAGACTGCTTCAGTGGTGCCCCAACATTCAGGTGAGGTACCTCCCAAATGCTGATAAACCAGATGAGCAACATGTTTTTGGCAAGACAAGCGGGGTCTTTGGGAATCTAAGAACTATGCAAAGAATTAGAAAGAAAGCAGGAAGAGAACTCTAGGTTAAGAGGAAGTGGTAAGAGCAAGAAGTAACAGGATGAGGCTGGGTCATAAGCTTTCTAGAAATGCCAAGGCAAACTGCAACTCACACCCAGAAACATCATATTTCCCCAAGCTAATCCTCCTAAAATGAAAGAGCCTTTAGCCAGACATGTCATTATTGGTATCATTTGGGAGATTTAAAAAATGAAACCAGGGGTGCCTATCGACTGTAAGACAGATTATCTCTGTCAGTATTACCAAAATATTTTAACTAATTAAGACATATATTTAGGTACAACATCACCGTTGTTGAGAACTCACACCTTCAGAGTTAAGGTTCAGAGTTCTTTTTACCATTTAAAATTCTTCAATGATGGCATGTTTTATTTCTCAATATGGCCCTTAATTCGCATAAGAAACACTAAAGAACAAAACACATTAAATTATAAAGCCTATTAGTTTAAATGTGTCTGATTTGGAGGAGAAAAAAAGCTTGTGTAATTTTACTGCCAAACTCACCAAATGCCGAAATTCTACAGAGAGACTCCCACTGGAAGATTCTTCAATGGACATGGCTTTGACGTGAGTTCCACAAAGCACAAATCTTCGATTGCTAGAGAGAAAATCTTGGCTATTTACATGGTCTCAGGTAAAATATATTTATGAGAACAGCCGAAAATTCTAAAGTAAATGTCTTACCTTAGAGTTGAAACGTTCCTGTAAAACCAAGAAGATTCTTTAAAATGAGTTATTTAATAGATCTAATAACAATTTTTCTATGACACTTTAGGGGATAGTATATAAAATTTCATTTCAAGTCTTTATAGTAAAATTTTTAAAATAAGTCTTCCTTGGCATTCTGTTAAATGTTTGAACTTCAAAGTCAAATATTTGAAGTACATTGATATGTAACGTTAGAGAAGTAAATTTAAAAGTTTAAAATTATTCTATAAAATAAGGACAATTGTTTTTAAAAAGTCTTACATTTTCATGTTTCAAAATGAAATTAGAAACTTACTTGTCAATCGATGCTTTCACCTTTACCTGATAGTTTAGTTCTGGTAATTTTATCAGTAGTCTGGAAAGACACATAAATAAAGAATTAAAGATAAAAATTTTAATGGCTAAAAGCCTTTTTATATTTAAAGATTTAAATATATTTACAGTAAGTACATATAAATCAAACTCACATTATTTCCAGTCATATGTTAGTGTGTTTTTAAAATGTCCAATTCCTCTTTACTTTGCCATGTTACTAATATTGACATCAGCCACTTAATATAACACATACTTGGAAAGTGTTTCCATATTATTTCAGTTGATGTGTGTTGGATAACACATTGGCTAGGTCAGAAAAATAGCTATTTGGGTTAAATGTATAAAAAAAAATCTTGCAAGTCTATTAATGTGGCTCCATTTTATTCTCATATTATAAAAAAATTGTAAGCTTAGTAAGACTAAATGTTTTGATAAGTGTTTTATGGTAAAATACTGATAAAGACTAGGACTCTGGTAGAATAAGGAAAATTCCACTTCAAATGCATTTGCAGTCTTTAAAGACACTATATTTAAGTAACAGCAAAAATGTTCATAACTAAAAAAGACCTAACTTCAAACAAACAAATGATCAAAGGTCAGAATAACAATTCCTTTAATTCCTTCTTGTGTCAGCCTTCCTTCACTCCTTAGCTTTTCCCAACTCGTCCGAGCTGTACCCTCTGACATACCACCTCTGCAGGTTCAGTTCAGTTTCAGAGATATTCATTCAGTCACTCACTCACTCATTCATTTATGCACTCATCCCAAACCTTGTTCATTCACTCAGCATGTATTGAACTCCTCATATAGACCCTGTACAGCCCCAGGCACTGCGAAACTGGCATAGTGAAGATTAGGGAAGGAGGAGAGTAGACATGGCTATACATCAAAGGAAGAAGTCTAGCCAAAGAGCTGGAATATAGAGAATGGTAATAAGCAACTGAATGGCATTAGAGAAGTACAGTCATAGATAACAGACAGCCCAAACAAAACAAAAATAATGTAGCAAAGGTTCCTTAAAAATCCTGCCAGGATTGGTTTCAGAGCTTGGGATATAATAAGTGTACAGCTGTTGGTAGTGAGGGGTGAGGAGGTCATATGAAGTAAGACAAGATGTTTTTCCCCTCTGCATTCCTCTCTATCCTATTTCAGGAAGGATCTCATTCACTGTAGGATGCTGACGACAAAAGGGAGTCCCATGTCACCCCCTTCCTTTGAAACAGGAGGATGGAATGCTATGGTAGAGAGGGGTTTTTGGGAAAATCTTGAATACTAAGTAAAGGATCATCTATCAAGACAGTGGAGGACAGTGTACAGAGAAGAAGGACGGGGACTGAACAGTTAGATGGAAGAGGAAGGCAGAACACCTAAGCCAGGGACTAATGGTCTGTGCCTCTGGCAATCAGCTCAAACACCACGCCATTCAGGGACCTCTTCCACTCAGAACTCTTTGCTGAGCAGTCCCTAATCATCTTCCCCTTCGTCCCACAGAGCATCTTAGACTGAACATAACATCTACGGGGGTGTCTCAAGGAAAAGCAGCATATATACCACCCTTCTATTTCCTTTTAGTGTTACAATTTTCTGGGCTACATAGAGATGTGGGGTTGAGGAAGGAACACCTTCTGAAAATCATAAAATTTTAAAAAGGAACCTGGTCTCTGCCCTTTTTTGTTGTTTCTTAAAGTCTTGGTGCAAATTCACACAAAGGAAATGATTAAGAATTTCAAGATGGGTTTCTGAAATGCAAACGAAAGACAAATGCCTTCCTTTTAAAAATGAAGTTCCTAGGTGATAGATGTCAACTAAACTTATTGTAGTAATCATCTTGCAGCTTATGTATGTCAAGTCATTATGCTTAAACTTATACAGTGTTGTATGTCAATTATATCTCAATAAAATGAAACTAAACTAAACTTAAAATGGGGTTCAATAGTGATGTGTGATCAGGGATGCTATCTTGGGATCCTAAATCACCATCTATCATGGCATCACCACCTCTAGTACTAGTCTGGAATTTCAGCTTTCCAGAGGTGACCTAGTGATTAGAAATGTAAAGCTTTGGGACTCAAGAGATTGAGGCATGATGAAAATCTTTGAAAGTTTGAAGTCAAACTCATTATTTTAAGAGTGTCATTAGGGAAAACTGTACGTTTTAGTTTGGTCATGCAAATGAAAAGGATCAGATACATAGATAAAGTGGCAACAACATAATCATTTCTCTTTAAATCAGGTACATAATAAGGATGTACTGAAAATCGTGGTGTTGAGATTTTTCATGGACCAACCAATAAGCTAGTTGCTGGGTGATCACAGGTGAAGAACGTTCCATTATATTTCCTGGATAGGATATTCAAACCCTTCCATCATCTGTCTCCAATCTATCTACTCAATTCTCTCTCTCCCTGCTCCCCACGCTTACAAAACAGACCCAGGAAGTCATTATTTCTATAGTCTCACTCACGCCCCTGCTCTTCCCTCAAGGTCCTTCCTCAGTGACCACAAGGCATTCTCCAGGCTCCCCAGTTTTCTCTCAAGTCAGCCTTTTGAGCAATTAATCCCATGTTGTCCGATATTGTGATTTCATGCTAATAACTCTCATGTCCTCATCTTCGTTGTTCTAATCTTTACAAGCAGGGCTCTCACCTTAACATTTCTGTGGGTACTTACCATAGCTGAGTGCTGGGTATGCAGGAGGTGCTCAGTAAAGAATAATTGAATGAAAGACACAATGAGAGCAACTAGCCTTAATCACACAGTGGCTATGGCATCATAAATATGAAATGATAGAATACATTCTGCCTACCTTAGCTTCACAGTAAACTGAATGAGAGTTTTAAGTACCATCGGCCTCTGAGGGTGGGTTGGCATGCATGGCTGTCGTTCAACCACAAATGAGCTGGGTTCAAAGGAAATAAAGCGCGTCATTTGAAAACACTGGAAACATTGACAGGCTGAAAACCACAGAGTAACAGGATGCTGTCCTCTTATAAAATCCAAACTTTCTACACTTAGAAGGCATTCAAACCCTTGTTAAGCTCAAATCTTTCTAAGACTTCTCATAAATAAATACCAGGAGATGGGAAATACCTAAAGACTGTCCCTAAGTAACAACAGTAAATAACTCTTGATTGTTATAATTGGGTCAAGAATAAAAGCCCCAGTCTATTTTTATCATACTAAACATCAAGTAGAAAGTTAATTTCATGCCATTTTTGAGCTAGACATTAGGATTTCTGGTACATACTAGTATTTTTTTTTTCCCTTTAGATGAGCTTACAAACATAAACATGTTCTCCACCCTTCATTTCTTGGATACGTACTTGAGAAGAAATCCTTGACATCTTCTTTTCTAAAAGATGAAAAATGAACTTTGGGTGGGTGATGTGGTGGCTCATGAAAAACCGAGTTAGGTGGCGGGAGAAGTGTTGATGAATAAACAGTGAAGAGTAGAAATGTTTCTGGAACTGTCTGGAGCTTTATTCACTGCACCCTGAGGCTCACTGTTTAACACTTCCCTCCCACTCCTTCACCTGAACACCAAAACCCAGCCAGGGTGTCCTCCCAACTCCACAGGACTGAGGCTCCCAAGAGGCCTTTAAATGGATAACATTTGACTTACTCCTTTTTTTTTTTTTTTAATTGAAGTATAGTTGATGTACAATGTTGTTTTAGTTTCAGGTGTATAGCAAAGTGTTGACTTACTTCTTAAAAAGGGTGCAGATCAAGAAGGTGACTCTTTCTAGCAGATGTGTTCTTTGCAGTGGGATGGGATCCCCTTCATATGTCATTTTGGTAGACTGCTCCTCTAATTTCTCCAACTGCCTTCTGAGTTGGAACAGACTTTCTGCCAACAGTGTAAAGCTATCGAACAGCAAATGAAAAACGCAGATAGTTTTCCACTTAACAATCCACCATTTTAACTATTAACCATATTTAGCAAATATTACTAAATAATTATTAAATTAATTAAATTAGTCACTTAATTCCATTAAAGGTTAGTGACAGTTTTTATTTTAATGTTTATTTTCCTAACCCAGCTTTTTGCTAAAATGCATGATAGATGTTAACTGTTTTCAATGTTTTAAAATTTTTACCTTCAGTTATAGATAAGAAATCATTTAGGAAATTTTGTCAATGTCTGGAACGAAATCCCTTTTAATTATCCTTTTTAAAAAGTCTGTTAAACACATATATTTAAAAAATATTGCACTCACTAAAGACAGCAAATTTAAAACTTTAAAAATACATGATATGAAGAATGTTATGTGTAAGAATACTGAAGAAAAAAACAGTATGACCCCCCCATATATATTTTTTACAGGTCCTAAGTATTAGCCAAAAAATTATCAGTGGATCTTCCTGGAGAAAGGTATCTGCTTAGAGTTTTACCTTGGATCTTACCTTAGAAACAGAGGTGGCAGCTTGGGCTGGAAGTCTGGGAAGGAGGGAGATTGAAAGGCACACAGAAGAGGCCTCCAACTAAGAGGAGGCAGAAGTCTCATGAGACTTGCTAAGTCCATGTGCCCTGACAGCAGCTCTTTCTACTGAAAGTTTATTCCCCACATAACATTGTAGAAAGAACTGCAAACTCCCTACTGAATTTGGTATGAGCACCATTATCTGCTATGCTCCCTTTGTTGTTTATCTTGTTTTCACAACAACAGAGTACAGTGAGGTTAGAGAATCAAAGTATCTCCCCAAGGAAAATCAATAAATTTAAAAAAGAGCCCAGTTACTTTTCCTGAGAAGTAGGCCTGGCAGTGCAGACCTTTCAGTGCAAGTGTGCCCAGTTACTGTGCTTTTTCATTGTATTGGATTGTACCCTTGGAAAGCAATTTTAGATTTCAACTGAAAATTTTCCTTCTTTTTCATTATATTTTCTAATTGTTCTTTCACTCACATAGTTTTCTTTTACATTGATGAAGGGGAAAACCAAAAAACATTTTTTTAATACAAAGGATAATATCTGTACATAATTGCATGTATGCATGTGTACACAGGCAGGGGATGCCATGTTGTATTAGCCATTTGAGATTTTTTCATTTAAATACAAAAATAAATCACTTTGTTGAAAACACAAAACTAATATTTAACTCTGACACCTTAAGATACACATTTTAAAAATGAGATACAGTGTTTGAAGCCAGGGCTTCTCATGCCCTTCAAGAAAGTGTATTTATTGCTGATTTGAAAAAGTTCATTTGAGTCTTTTAAGATTGATATATTAGATAAGAAAATAAGCAATTCTTATGCATTCTATAGATTTCTATAGATGCTTTATTTTTCTCCCCAAAGGGATGGAAATTAAGAACACTCAGACAATTACATCCATTTGTTTTCAACGGTAGAGTTCCAGCTGCTAATAAGCCATCAATAAGCTGAATGAATTGACATTTGCGTCTAAGCCTGTATTCTCTGGCTAAGCGACACTGTTGTGTACTTTCTGTGGTTTTCACTAGAAACTAAATTCAGTTCATTTTACCAGTTTTGGAGCTGGTCGAGCCCATTGTGGAGTGGACCTCCGATGCAGGCGACTTGTTGCCGCCTCTTCCAGTCTTGCAGCTCCTCCACCAGGGTGCTGTTCATTAACAAGTCCGTCTCATTCACTATTTGTGTCATCTTACTGAGGGCTTCCTGAAGACAAAAGTGACTACTGAGAAGATTCTTATGACACACAACCAAAGTTACTCATAATTTAACCTATAAAATAATTTGTCTGACCTGGGAGATAAAGCCTTGGTTAAAATTTTGACCAAATATTTTACCAAATACTACCTTCCATCTGCCATAGCACTGCCTTTTCAAATAATTAAATTATTGCAATTCAATAATGTCATGAAGAAAGAAGCATGACCATAGTTAACACTCTCATAATAGCACATAATACTCTCATACTATCATTTACTATAAGTAGGTTGAATTTGTAACTCCTGTGACAATACTGAATCCTGTAGTCATAAAAGCCATATATCTGCTTCTTAAAAAGCCATTTATAAATTGAACTTATATTCTTATAATTATGTTTATGCATTTATTTTTAAATGTACTGACTAGAATTTAAGCCTTTCTGTGTTAGTTTTTAGTACCACTTTATCTGGGTTTGGGGAAGCATAGTGGGAAAATATAACTTTCAAAGGCCTAGGGATTAGAAGATGTGAATTTCTACCCTGGCTTTGCCACAGCTATGTGAATTTGGACAAGCCATTTATCTTTGTTGGGACTTGATCTTCTTCTCTATACAGTCAGGTGAATGGACTGAATTATTTCTAAGATTCCCCCTCTCCTTAAAATCTTATTCAAAGTAGAATAAGATGGCATGCATAAAATGTATAGCATAGATTTATTATGCATAAAAGCATTAAGTTAATCTTGGGTTAAATATTTACATATTTAAAATCTGATATATAACTGTTTAAGTTTATAATTAATTTAGGGTGAAAATAAATTTTACATGTATTTGTGCTTACACAAATTCCTGCACAAAAAGATGAAGCCAAACTTTTAGAAATAAACTATTGATTTCAGTGACTGGTTAAATTTCAATGTGTCTATTTTCAAGGAGAGGTAGAATTGAGAGATATTTCTCCTCTTTCAAAATATTTTATTGAGCCAGAAAATTTTCTTCCTCTCCTTGGGAAGAGGTTAGATTGAACATGTTCAGGTCTCAATGGACTCTCCTGAAACCTACAGAATTATTTAGCACAATGTCATTTTTCAGAATAGAAACTGGGACGCTTATTTCTGTAACAAAGTTTTAGTAGTCGTCAAGTAATATTTTAATTATACATGTGCAGTAGAACCCATCCCAGCATATTAAGTATAGCAACTAAAACAGTCATGTCTGAAATAGTGGCAAAAAAAAACTGGGTAAAATGTTCACCTTGAAATTAATGGTAGCTACAGTACATGTACCACATAAGCAGGATAAATAGACTCTAGAAGGGTTCTGCTTTGTAAACTTAGGTGAAGAAGCATGGCAAACAGTATGATACTCTTCCTAGAAACACTGCCTTTTATTCATTCAGCATAAATGGAACTGATAAAATCAAAGAGCTTAATTTCAGAGCTTAATCTAGTAGGACTAGATGTAGAAAAAGGAGAAAAATAGGCAAAAGGCCCAATTAAAGTTCTTCACTAGCCTTTCTTTTGAAGTCCAGGCTGTTCAGCATTTCCTGCAGAGTCAAAACTTCCTGATTCATTAGGGCGCTGTTCTTGTCACCCTGATCTGTGAAGGAAAAGAGATCAGACTTAGAGTCCTCTCCAAGGTGAATCTCTTTGTCCTGAAAGCCAAAGCCAGCTGTAACCTGCCATCCTAAGATCCCATGATGCAAGAGCCTAAATGGGGCCATTAGTGATGAGCTTAGAAGTAAATCCCTGGCTGCCAGGAAGGATTACATCCAAGCAGGCCAGAGATGAGCTCTCTACCTTACAGACCTTGAGAGAACACCATTCTTCACACAATGTTCCTTTTGGGGGCAGGGAGAGAGGAGAATATAAATGTTTTTATAACGGATTCTTTATTAGATCATCTCTACATTTATAATGACCTTGGTTGGTTGGGATGTGTAAGAAAGAAAAGGGGCCCTTCTTTGTGCCTATAATTAAATCATATTTGACCCCTCCTGATGCCTTTACTCAATCTCCTGGAAGAGTTGCCGTTTTATAGTACATAGTCTCATTAACTAATAAAGACTAAATCCATTGCTTTCTCTTTTCCTTTGCAAAACAGGCTAGCCTCACAGTAAAACCAGAAGAAGTGGGAAAGAGTTGCAAATTAAGAAAAATCTCTGACTGAACAAAACCCAAAATGATTTATCCTCTTAAATGACAGATGTACAATAAACATCGTATTATTTAATTTGAACTAAAACTTTATTGGTATATAGTAAGTGACTGCTTATACCAACTGCTCATCTCTATAATAAATGAAGTTTTGGAATGCTGATCTGAATTGTGTTATTGTGAAAAGAGGCCCCCAAACAATGCTGTGGCAAAGTCCTCAACAAAATAGCACTGATTTCCGAGAAGTCATTTCTGGTTGTATTAATTCACAAATTCACGAATTCCTAGATCCCATATGTAGCAAAATCCTGCTGATATGGCATTTTATCATTTCAAAACTTCACTAGCTAATACTTTCCAGTCTTCACCAGCAAAGATATAACTTGTTTCCCATGTATCTTTCATTTCCCTTAAAACATTTCCTTTCACTTTCACTTTAAATATTTTATTAATCAACAAAATATTTGTTGATTAATAATCATTTTTATTCTTCATAATGCTTATGAAGCACTGTAAGATACTAAAGTAACTCTAATTGTAATATACTAAGTTCAAAATAATTTTACTGTTTTAATGTAAAACAGTATATTTTAATGTATATTCTATTTCATAAAATTCATGGTTCACATATGAAATTTAGGCTGAGGCTGCTTTCAATGAATTGTAATGCTTGATTAAATGTGCAGTTGTTCTAAACCTTTTAAGAATCATGGACCCCTTTGATAAGCTGATGAAACCTGTGCTTGTGTCATTTCTTCCAAAGGAAAAAACATTGTACATACAATTATGAACATATTTAATAACATTTCATGGGAGTCAAGACATCCTGAAGGTGCCAGAAGGACATGTCACATCTCACTTATGCCAGGAAAAACGAATATCCTCTCTTTTAAATCTTAGATGGAAAGTTAACAAAGAATTTGATCACAATCACCCATACTACTTCCTTCCAGATAAATTTTTTTTTTTTTTTTTTTTTTTTGCGGTCCGCGGGCCTCTCACCGCTGTGGCCTCTCCCATTGCAGAGCACAGGCTCCGCAGGCACAGGCTCAGCGGCCATGGCCCACGGGCCCAGCCGCTCCGCGGCATGTGGGATCCTCCCGGACCGGGGCACAAACCTGCGTCCCCTGCATCGGCAGGCGGACAACCGCTGCGCCACCAGGGAAGCCCCCAGATAAATTTTAAGCTAACATTTCAGTAGTTAAGGATGATTCTGTAAATCATCTGTACAAAGAATTTATATCTAATGTGTTTTTCAAAATTATTTTAGAATTACAAAAAAGTTACGAAAATAGTACAGAGTTCCCATATATCCTTCATCCAGCTTCTTCTAGTGTCTTAGATAAGCATAGTACAATGTTCAAAGCCAGAAGATTAACACTGGCACAATCCTATTAACTAATCTAGAACTAATGAGAATTTCTCCAATTGTCCCACTAATTGCAACACACTCTAAATGTTATTACTTGTAAATCTTAGATTTTATAAATTTTATCATTCTTTCCTTATATTTCTTTAAAAACATCAAATTGTAAACAACCTCAATATTTAACCACAATGAAATAGTCAAAGAAATTTCAGTGTCCTTACATTTTGGTATTTACACAATTATTGATATTATGTTTTGAAGATTTTTTTATATGAGGAAATACATAAAATAAAACTTTAGTTTAAAATGCTATACAAAAAACTATGTACAAGATGATTTCAATTTTTTCGTAAATAAATAGGTATGTATGTATTTGAATGTGCAGGAAAAAGGCTGGAAGAAAATACACTAACATTTTGACAGTGTTTATATCTAGATAGCAGAATTTTGTGTGGTTTTTAATTTTGTAATACTCTTTTCTACTTTCTAAATTTCCTACAGAGTCATATTTCTACTTTTAATTTTTTAAAATTATATTAAAAGACTCACCTAGAGATAATATTAGTAATTTCCTGATCATATTAGACAATTATTATTACTTTTCTTAGTTGTGATAATGATATTTTGATTCTATAGGAGAATGTTCTTACTTTTTGGAGATGCATCCTGAAATAGGGGTGATTTCTCATGAGCTTTATAATTTACTTTGAATCATGGGTAAAAACATATATTTATATGGAGAGAAAAGGAGGAAGCAAAATAAATTAACTTCTCCTGCACACTCTCTTCAAAAAAAGGGATCAATTTATCAACTCTGCAGCAAAGACGAAACCCTAGTCACATTGCCTTTATGTCCCTATGTGGAATTATAGACAAAACAAAAACTTACCCATTGTCTGAATTGTTTTATACCTGTAGTCAAATTCATCTTGCAGATCTTCTAAATATTTGGTGTCTTGTTCTGTCATCTTTTTACAAAGAAAACATACTCTGTTGTTACAATTAAGCACGTCAATGCAACAACATCATCCATCATCAGTATTTCAAAATACACAGTTTGGTGCTTGCAATCCCCAGTAATATCCCAGACTAACTATACAGAATCTACATTTCTAAAGAGCTAATGCCCATGAACGTTGAATAGCACTAGAAGAACCAGACTGAGGTTGCTCTTCCATTTTTCTCTTCCTGAGTGTTTGCAAATTTCAGCATCTTGCCTCTCATTTCTCAGTTAATTCCAAATGATGCAACTAATATCTTTTTTATCGGAGAGTATGGATACTTTTTTCATTTTAGCTCCATACAACTCTGTATTAACGTACCAACTATCTTTTTGCTTAAAATCTCCATTCTCAAACGATATAGTTTATGACAATTGAGTCTAAATTTTTTTCCTCTCTACCTCTTAGAAAAAAAATATCTGTGGCTCCTCTGTGTCTCCTGTTCATTTCTGTCTTTGAGATTTTTACTTTTACTCTTCTCCAAACCTGGTGACGTTTTTCTGCTCAGATATAACGGTGTCAAGATCTGAGCTAAAGGCTTTTCATATAGTATTATCTCACGTAGTCCTCACAACAATCCTGTTACAGTGGTTATCCTCACTTTTACAGATGAAGAAGCAGAGGTTTAGAGGTGTGAAGCAGCTTACTCGCCTAAGGTCACATGGCTTCTCACTGATGGAGTCTGGTGTGGAAACCCTAATTTCCGGTAAATTGAAGTTAAAAGCTTCCCACAAATAAATGTTTTCTAATATGAACGTAGTGTGTGAGAGATATTTATCTTATAACAAATTAGCCTATGATTTCTGTACGCACTAACTTGGGGCACACAAGAGAAAGATGCATAGTATGGTGACAACAGCTAGACTTTCCTGGTGTCTGTAAGAGATCACTCACCTGCACACTATTTTTAATGGCAGCCACTTTGTGCTCCACATTCCTCTGTCTTTCTGAAACTGAAGAACTTTGTAAGGATTTCTCCAGAGGTCCCTGGAAAAACAATGTCTTGAAATTTCGATGATGTTGATAAAACAGGTTTATGAAGAATGTAGTATATGTAATATACTTTGAACTGAGGTATGGATGAGTATGATATGAAATACTCTACAGCCATTAAAAAACATGCTGTAGAAAAATATTTAATGACATACAAGTAGTGTTAAATTGTTAAGAAATAGAACAAATTATAAGACACCATATGTTTGTGATCTCTGTTGCTTGTATATGTATATATATTTATACTTATTTATTTATTTACAAAAATCTGGATATATGTATAGACATGTAAACTCAAGTACATGTGACCTGAAGCACACACATCCCAAAATATTATCATGTGCTATCTTTGAGCAGTAAAATTACAGATGATTTTATAGTTAAATTTTTTTCCCCTAATTTTCTATAACAGACCCATATTGCTTTTGAAATTCTATAAAATGAATACATGTAATTGTTTTTTGAATACATGTAATTTAAAAATTAGTATAGTGAAACTACATTAAGTTGGACTTAAATTCAGAATTAGGGATGTTGAATCTGTCAGGATGAGATTTATTTTTACATTGGAACAAAGGGAGTTTGCTAAAGAATATGTAAAAATGTTAGGCTGGCTAAATAGGAAGGCTAACCAGCTACTCCAAGCCCCATTTCTTTTTTTTTTTCATATTAAGTATGATTTTATAACTTTATTTTTCATTCTGTAACACATTATAAACAGCTTTCTGTGTGATTAAATATATATGAAAATCATGATTTTTAACAGTTATATTCATTATGTTTGAAGCTGTAAGGTCAGTGGAATGTTGTGAAATGTTTCTGTTGGCTGCACAGAAGGACAATATTGTTTCCTTCTTTTCAAAGAACTTTTTAACAGTAATGTGTTCATCTGAGGATCCTAAATTCCTTTTCTAAATTCTAAGAGTAGCTTTCTCTTTGATTTATTCTCATGTGTGACATTCTGCACATCCTTCCCACCACCTGAGTTCAGGTTTCCTGGTCTCCAGCCCCACCCTTCTCCTTCGCCCTTTACCAAACTTCAAAGGCAAGTCTGGAGATGTCAAGGCTCTCCCATTTTGCTCACCACCAACTACAGTAAAGTCCAAACTCTGGTGCTAACCACTTTGGGCTCCAAATGTGATCTAGCTTCATTTATGCTTTACTTTCCCTAGTGGGGGAGAAGCCTCTATGTCCCAGGCAGGTAAATGAAGAAGCAACCCTTTCTCTTCCCCCTTATTCTCCCCACTTCACCCCAAAGGAGAGGATGGTTTACAGCAGGGGTCCCCAACGCCAGGGCCACGGACCACTACCAGTCTGCGCCGTTAGGAACCGCAAGCCCCATTTCTTGGCCACTCTAATAATCTGGCATTAAGTTCCATAGATATAACGTTTACGTAGATATCTAGAGTTGAGTTAGAATGTCAGTAAACCCTTCACCTTACAGTTGGATGGGGACGTATGGTTAGAAAGGATGATGACTTGACTAAGATCTATAGCAAATCAGTGGCAGAATCTCAAGTGGAACCCAGGTCCTTGACTGTCAATCAAGTGTTTTTTCAACTACATCACATTCTTCAGATGGGTAAAGCCTTTGTAAAATTCACTCTCATTTTGGCCCCCATTATTTGTATTTGTGTGTGTGTGTGTGTGTGTGTGTGTGTGTGTGTGTGTGTGTGTATCTCCCTATATTTGTCTACTGGTTCAAAATTTACAAACTAGTGTTTCTTTTGTGGTAGTATGTAGCACTAGCAGATTATTTGTGGAATGATTTTGATGAGCATCTATTCAAATAAATGTTTCTAATTTGCCTGATACCTGACATATGAAGAGAACAACAACAACACACACACACAGACAAAATGACTAGAGATAAGAGGGCTACGAAAAAGGACAGCTCAGAATATATATGAGAATATCATATATTAGTAACAGCATCTCAATGTTCACCCAAAAAGCACTGAATCAAACTATATTTACTTTAGAAACTCACTAACTTTAGATTTTAAATTAAATAAAGGTGATACCATTCTTCTTTATCATCTAAAAAATAAGAGTAAGTTGTTAAAGCTTCATACTTCTCTAAAAACAACCATAACCTGACAGCAACTAAATCTGAGAATTTTTAATAGTTGAAAAAAGATACTTTTCTTGGATCTTCAAAAATAAATACACTAGTGTGATTTACTAACTTATAGAGTGTGACATGTGGAAAGTTGATTATTCACACGCTCTTTCCTTTTCAAAAGGATTAACTGAAAAAGTATTCCCAGGGACTTCATATTCCTCTACTTATCTTTGATGGGGGCTCTGAGTTCATTTAGCATAGTGGGATAAAATATAATCTAAAATATTATTGGCAAGGCAAAGCACACTGAAACAATAAACAAGCAAATATTTATGGAGTTTCTGTAAGACAAAATTCCTGCTCATGGAGTAGTTTGGATTTGTCGGGTAGGAAATTGGGAACTACTGAAGGGTTTGCACAAGATCAATCCCTGAGGATAAACATGCTGAGAGAAACAGAGCCTAAATGGTAGTTAGGAATTCAGCCCGGAGGTGGTTACTCTATTCCTCAACTGATATAGTAAGACCACGGACCAGAGTGTGAGCAGTGGAAACAGAAAAGGATGTATAGATAGGATTCCAGAAACAAACTCTGGAAAGACTTGGTAGTTATCTCAATAAGGAGGCATAGAAAAGGAACTATTCAAAGATAATCCCAAGACCTTGATTCCAAGTGACTGGAAGGATGACGGGACCATCAACATAGGTAGAAGAAGATGGCTGGAAAGAAGACTAGAATTTCTGTTTCAGAAAAATTGAGTTCCAGGTGATAACAAGATTACAATGGAAGAAAATGTTACCTGAACAGGCATGTTGGCTGCAGCCAATATTCTCCTCTCTTCCCTTAAACAATTTGAAATAACCACAGACACATGCATCGGATTTCCATGAAATTTTCCCTGAAAAAAAGTGAAAAACAACACAAAATCTTCAATGTATACATCACTATTTGCAAATCAAAAATAATCTCCAAATAAATATGTGAAATTATTTGGGATTTGTTTCAACAACCTATTCTATTATAAAGCCACAGAAACTAATATTGTGAAAGTAGATGCCTATGCAGCATATTGCTCTGTCCCCAGAAGTTATTTTTAATAATTAAAAATAGTTCTTGAGCACCTCTGTAGGAAAGACCCTGAACACACACTCAGGAGGATCAGTTTACTTTGGGCTTAGAATAAGTTTTACAAGAGTTACTTCTTTGTAAATTATTATGAACTAGGGTGGTCCCAGCTGTTCATTTGTTAACTCTGTACTACATGGTGTGCCTAACGCATTTCTTTTGGTCCCTGTTTGGTGCTCTTCATGTCAATTAGCTCATAACTATCGGTATGCTAGAGAGAAACTCTATCACACACATTTTAGCAACAATATTTTTATGACATCTAAGTATATACATTTTTTTATTACCGATGCTAATGGTTCAGATATTGTAAACTGGCAACCTGTGGGTCTAATTCAGCCATAAGGTATGTTGTGTAAGTTGAAATATTGTAATCCCTTCAGGGGAACATGTACTACCCATAGTTTCCATAGTATCCAGCACTGAGTGACCTAGGCACTCATTTATTTTACCTGCCAGGCACCTATAGGTTTTCTTGGTTTGCAGGATTAATTTGAAAAACACCATCATTTTAGTCAGTAGTGTTAAACTTCTTTGTTACTAGACCCTTCCATGGCAGGATTAACAGGAAACACAATAAATGTAGACAAATGCCTTTATTTAGTTTCCCTCTGCCCTCCTGTCTGAAGGAGGTGCTACTTATCCATGAAATGGCCAAAGGGCAATAGCAGAAAAGATAAAAGTGGAAAATTAATAATCAAAAGTAGATTATACAGACTAGTAAACCAAAGGGTCTTTCTTGGAAAGAAATGAGGTTATTGGTTGTAAACATTTTTAAGGCCTTGACCATGGCCACAATTTTATTAGATGATGCATTCTAATTAGCATTTCTATTTGTAAAACCAGGGTAAACACCAAGTATCTGGTTTCCTGCTTTTCCATATTCTATAGCTTTTAAGACATTTTTCCCCTTCAAATGAGAACACTCTGAAAGAAAAAAACAAAAATGAATGGACAGAAACTCTTAAGGTAAAGAAATTAAAATTATCCTATTCATTAAGCAGGGATACCAAATTTCTGATTCCTGCATGCTGACAATTTCAGATTCTCCCTAGTTTGAATTTGTTCTTGTTTTTAAAATTTCCCATTGATTTGTTTTCCCATATACCTTCCATTTAACTCACCAAGAAAAGCTATGTTTGCTCATTTTGCCTTTATTTTTAAAATATTCCACTGATGAAAATAAAGGGTTTCTCCCAGGGCTAATTTGGAGACTGCTATTTATGTAACGTTGAAAGCTTTTCCTATCCAAGATCAGGAGTTCCTCTAAGATCCCAGGAATCACCACTATTTGTCTTTGTTTTTCTCACTGTTACAGGAGTTCTTCATTGTTGATTATCCAGATCCTATCTTTCAGCATTTCTCAGCTCCTTTGTCTATACTTTTTCATTTTTCTTTCCTGCTTGAATTTCTTCTACCTTCCCTTTCAGATTTGGTTTCCCCCTTGTCTTGTGAGGTATTTTCATTTTTTCTCCTTTGTTAAGAGTAAAGAATCACTATTGTTTTTATCCAGGCTATTTTTTCACTTTCTTTTTGCATTTTTCCTAACTTAGCTCTCACTTAAATGTATGAGATGAAAACATCTTATGGAAAATTGACCGCTATAGATTCAAAAACCAAAGTAGCACTTTTTTTAATGATCAGGCTTTTAAAATTTATTTCTTATTGAAGTATAGTTGATTTACAATGTTGTGTTAGTTTCAGGTGTACAGCAAAGTGATTCAGCCATATATGTATAATTCTTTTCCATTATAGGTTATTACAAAATATTGAATATAGTTCCCTGTACTATACAGTAGGTCCTTGTTGTTTATCTATTTTATAGATAGTAGTGTGTATATGTTAATCTCAGACTTCTAGTTTATCAACCCCCCTCCACTTTCCCTTTTGGTAACCATAAGTTTGTTTTCTATGTCTGTGAGTCTCAAATTAGCATTTAAAATTTTCGTTATCAAAGATGTAGTTATGTTCACCTTTCAGTAGTTACCATGTATATGGACCAGGGACACCACCCCCCAAAAAAAAGCACAAACAGAAAAACAGAAATAACAAAAGAAAACCCACCCCTAAGTGTGTGTTGGTGGGAGGAAGGACGGAAGAGAAATTGCCCTTTTTCTAGCGTGAGTCTGTCTCTCTTATGTGCAAGTACTGCAAATATCTTCTACTCTGTGGCTCTCTTTTCACTATCTCTTAGTGTCAATAAATAGAAGTTTTTAATTTTAGTGAAGTCAAATTTATTAACTCTTCTGTCTATGGTTTGTGCTTTTTATGACTTAAGAAATCTTTCCCTAATCTACAGCCATGGAGGTTTATTCCTATATATATATATATATATATATATATATATAAAGCCGTTAGAATTTTGCCCTTAATTGTAATTCACTTGGAGCTTCTTAATAATGAGAGGTCCCTTTCACTTTTTTCTATATGAATATCAGTTCCAACAATATTTATTGAACATTCTGTTCTTTTACCACTGCTCTGCTGGGCCAACTGTCATAAATCAAGTGCCCATATATGGATGGTTTGCTTCTGACTCCATTCCATCTTATGGTTCTATCTGCTTTATCAACAGACCGTCTTAATTACTAGAGTTGTATAATAAGTTTTTTGACGTCAAGTAGAATAGCTTTTCTTTGCATTTTTCACATAAATTTTGGAATCACCTTGTCAAGCTACAAACACACATACGCACACACACAAGTTGAGAATTTGAATGGCACTAAATCTTTAGATACTTGGCATCTTTGTGTTCTAATCTATTTATTTAAGTCTTCTTTAATGTCTCTCTATTAAGCATTATAATTTTCCACAGAGATCTTATACATTTTTTGCTAGGTTTGTTTCTATGTAGCTGGTATTTTTCATAATGGATAGTATTTTTCTTTCCTAATTGTTTTCACTGGTATGTAGAAATATATTTGGCTTTTATATATTGACTTTAAATCCATCAACTTTGCTAAACTCTTAATAATTCTAATAATGTACTTGTAATATCTACTACCAAGTCTAAAAATTCATCTGTAGATTGTTTTGGATTTTCTGCAAATACAAATCACATCTTGTATGAGTATTGATAATATTTTTTCCCCTTTTCATTTATCTAATATCAGTCAGAACTTCACCTTCATACTATGATTTATTTAGAAATGTATTGGTTAATTTCCAAAGATAGTGATTTTCTATTATCCTTTTTATTGATTGTTATAGATTTTAAAATTCTGATCAGAATAGATGTTCTGAATGACTTCAGTCACTTAAAATTTATTGAAACTTGCTTTGTGGCCCAGCATATGGACTTTTTGTAAATATTCCATGCGAGCTTGTAAAAAATGTGAATTCTGCAGTTGTTGGGTGCAAATGTCTTATACAAGTTATACAAGTTTATTAACCCAACTTTGTTAATTGTTTTGTTCAAAAAATCCTTGCTGATTTTTTTGCCTCATTAATTTTATCAAATATTGAGAGGCATGTTAAAATCTAGTTTGTGAATTTTTCTTCTTGTGGTTCTTTCATACACATTCAGACTTGTTATGTATTACTAGTGAGTCAAATCTTTCAATACTATGAACCGACCTTTATTGTTAAGAATGCTTTTTGCCTTGAAACAAAAATATAAACTATGACATAATACTTATTATCACTTAGAATTTTTATTTCATCCTATTGAAAGAATTCTTGATTTACTTAAACATATAGATATTTAATATCACATATTCACATCATACCTATATAAAAGAGTAAATATACATGAAATAAATTGGTTATGTATTCGTAAAACTTCTTTGCATATTTACAATTCAACTTTTCTGAACCTCTTTTCAAATTAGATTCATTGGCGTTCATGTTTTTTCCCATAAAATAATGTCCTCTGGGCCACCAGGAAAGTCAGTGATGCAGCATCTCTTTAAATGTGCACCACTATTACTGACATTCTGTAGTTTCGATGCTGGCACCTCCTTGATCTTACCAGAAGTTTTCAACAGAAAGTTTTCAGACAAGAACCAGGACTCACTCACATTCCTTCTGCAAATGGTCCTGAAATGATTTGATGACTGAAGCATTGAGGGTTGTAGTGGCCTAGTCATGCCATCATGATTCACAACCATTATACTTTTACATGAAATGATTAGGCAACTGTTCAGATACATGTCCATGAAGTCACTGAGAACTAGACTATATAGCAGGTTCCTAGATGTCTGTTCCAGAAGATGTCTAACCAATACTCTATCAGCTCAACCACCACCTGTACTCTTTTGGTTCACTCCTAATAATATTTTTGAAGAAGTTCTTATTCGTAGACATTGTTTACAGTTTAAATTAAATATGGTGGTACCTTTAGCAGTTGTAAGTTAGGCATAAGATTACAGTGATACACTGCTTTTCATAATCCAAACTCGTACTCTTGATCCTTTTAAAGATCCTTTTGGGGAACCCTCTTACACTTTTGGTGGGAATATAAATTGGTATAGCCACTATGGATAACAGTATGGAGGTTACGGTTAGGGTTAGGGTTAGGGTTAAAAAACCCTAAAAAAAACTTAAAAAACTAGAAATAGAGCTATCATACGACCCAGCAATCTCTCTCTTAGGCATATATCTGGAGAAAACCATAATTTGAAAGGGTGCATGCACCCTAATGTTCACTGCAGCGCTATTTACAATAGCCAGGACATGGAAGCAACCTAAATGTCCATCAGTACAGGAACAGATAAAGAAGATGTGGTGCATATATACAATGGAATATTACTCAGCCATAAAAAGGAATGAAAC